AAGTTGCTCTAAAAGGGAAGTTGTTTCAGGAAGAAAAGACAGACTTTTATCAGTTAGGATGTTTTGCAAGTAACAGAAAACAATCCAAAGTAACCCAAACTTTTAGAACAAGTTAGCGATTGCAAAACAGTGTTTACTTTTGCCTCCACAGTGCAGTGACTAAGATCCTGTGGATTCGGAGTAACTTGAAAATGTTGGGTGGAAACACAAGGTTCTTTAGTGCTAACAACTACAGGGGACTGTGGTAGCTTTGGTGGGGTCAAAAAAGGGGAAAACTGATGCTGACTTCCGGCAGGCAGCGTGGTAAGAACAGAGGCCTGCGCCTAGGCCCTGCCTTCCACGGGGCCTGTGGGTGAGCTGAGGCCGCGGACGGCCGCAGCCCACCCCCGGCCCAGGCTCTGAGGCAGCGGCAGACCCTCACTCCCACGGTCTGTTGGCCTCGGCGGCCTCGTTGAGCCCGCCCCCAGCACCTCGGGCCGCCCTCTCTGAGCTGGGCCGCCGTGAACCCCTCCAGGCCGCAGACGGCGTGGAGCCTCTGGGTGGCGCGCACGCGAGGCGAGAACATGGCGGCCACCAGAAGAGCACGGAGGGCGTGGAAGGCGGGTCCAGGCTGAGGCGAGCTTGGCGGCCTCGGCGTCAGGCCGAGGAGCCGCGCAAATCCAGCACCGGGGGTGACCGCTGGGTCCCAATCAGACAAAAATGACCCTTCTCCCAGAAAACATGGACAGAGGCCTTCAGGGCCTGGAAGTGAACGGAGCCCATGACACCGACGGTTGGAACCGTTGGTGGCCATCTGGCGGGTGGTCTTGACACTGGAAGGCAGAAATGGTAGAATAACGTAGCTCATTGGGCCCATAGGAGTGCCCACCATCCTTGGGGAAGATTTGCTGGCCATTTATGGAAGGCCTGTGCATACACTATGAAAAAGCTGTTCTCCACTTTCGCCCCGACCTTTAAAAGAAACCTTCTGCTACATCCAGGCCTTCCAGATGTAAAGAGGTTGCCTGAGGTATGATAAAGTGGAGTTAGAAAATCAAATGTCTTGTAAATAACCATTTGTCAAAAAAAAAAAATCGTGGAAAAGAAATGTCTTCTGGAATGATTTTTTGAAATGGAATAGTTACACCACCTCTAGAAGCGACATCCGGTGCCACATATGTCTATGTTTGTTACGTGGTTTAGAGGACATGGAGCAGAAGGCGGTGAGGAGGAAAAGAAGAAGCTTCTATGCCAGACTGGTCATATTTAGAAGACATTTTCACATTAAAACCGTTGTCCTTTACATGCATTTTGTTCCTCACTATATATAATTGACAATGCTCAGTACTTTTTTGAAATATCTAGTCTTTCTAGATGTTCTGAAATGTCTGATAGATAGTTGAAAATAGAGGTAGCAAGATAACACATTTCGTAAATATGTTTTTGTTCAAATTTATGAGAAGCATTGCTTGTTTGTTTTGGAATGGCCAAACAACTTCTTTGAGTACACATTGTGTTTGTGCACTGATTTGGAAGAGGAGAGAGGAGAAGCAAATGCAAAAGACTCTTTGCAAGTGTGTTTACACTTAGGCAAGATTAACCATTATCCCTTACGTTCATACATTTCGTTTTATGTTGCTATGTATGTAATAGTGCTTATAATAGATCCTCCTAGTTTACAGCATCTAGCCTTTCTAGATGTTAAAGAGCTTGCCAGTCTATGACAAAAGTATAGATGTTAAGCTAATATGTTTTGTATGCCTTGTGTTAAAATTCCAAGACAAATTGTCTCCTGAAAATTTGAGCATTATAGCCCACTGGTCTGGTGGAGGAGGGAGAGAAGAAGGAAGGGTTCTAGGCCAGAATGTTCATATTTAGAAGATCTTTCGGATGATAACTGTTGTTCTCTGTGTGCAGTTTATTCAGGACTGCTGTGTATATGGTGGATGAAGTCCTTATTTGAAACATCTGGTCTATCTAAATGTTTTGAAGTGTCCGATGTATGTTTAAAGTAGGGGTAGTGAAATATCACTTTATAAATATGCTTGTGCTAAAACTCATAGGAAATATTGTCTTTTGGAAATGGAATTGCTAAACCACCTCTGTGAGCAGTATACTGCTGTCTATACTTGTTCAATGGTTTGGAGGAGGTGGGAGGGAAGGAAATGCAAAACGTAATATGCTAACGTCTTCATATTTGGATAGTTTCAGACAAAACCATTTTTTGTATGTTATATGCATTTTGTTTAGCTGTGTATTTAGTGTGTATCATAGACAAATGAGTCCTAATTTGTAACATCTAGTCTCTAGATGGTAAAGATGTTGCCAGTGTATGACAAGTATGTGTGACAAAGTAGAGTTAGTAAAATAAACACTTTTTGTATATTCGTGTTGAAATTCTTAGGGAAGCTTGTCTTCTGTAAATGACTTTAAATATGAATTTGTTCAACCACCTCTAAGCATTACACATGTCTGTGCTTGCCCATTGGATTGTGGTGGAGAGAAGGAAGTATGGAGGGAATGGTTCAAGGCCAAAATGGGCATATTTAGAAGATACCTCAATTATAAGCATTCCTATGTGTGTGCAGTTTTAACAGTACTGTATATATAGTGGACAATTAAGTTCTTATTTCAAATATCTAGTCTTTGTGGATGTTTAGAAATGCTTGAGCGCTGGCCCTGTGGCATAGCGGTTAAGTGCGCGCGATCTGCTGCTGGCGGCCCAGGTTTGGATTCCGGGTGCACACTGATGTACTGCTTGTCATGCTGTGGCGGCGTCCCATATAAAGTGGAGGAAGATGGGCATGGATGTTAGCCCAGGGACAGTCTTCCTCAGCAAAAAAAGAGGAGAATTGGCATGCATGTTAGCTCAGGGGTGATCTTCCTCACACACACAAAAAAGAAGTACTTGATGTATTTAAAATTAGAGGTAGTAGAATAACATTTTGTAAATAGTTTTGAAAAATTGATGAGAATATTGTATGATTCCACTTTTATGAGGTACTTAGAATAGTCAAATTCAGAGAGACAGAAGGTAGAAGGGTGGTTATCAGGGGTTGGGGGGAGGGTGCTAATGGGGAGTTATTGTTTAATTGGTACAGAGTTTCAGTTTGGAATGATAAGTTCTGAAGGTGGATGGTGGTGATGGTGGCACAACAATGTGAATGTACTTAATGCCACTGAACTGTAGCCTTAAAAATGGTTAAGTGGTAAACAGTAACAGTAAACAATTTTTAGAAATTGATGAGAAATGTCATTTTTCAAATGGAATTGTTTTTTTTTTTTTGTTTGTTTTTTGTGAGGAGATCAGCCCTGTGCTAACATCCGCCAATCCTCCTCTTTTTTTGCTGAGGGAGACGGCCCTGGGCTAACATCTGTGCCCATCTTCCTCCACTTTATATGGGAGGCCGCCACAGCACGGCCTGCCAAGTAGTGCGTAGGTGCGTGCCCGGGATCCGAACCAGCGAACCCCGGGCCACCGCAGCGGAGCGCGGGCACTTAACTGCTTGCGCCACCGGGCTGGCCCCTCAAATGGAATTGTTAAACCACCTTTGTGAACAGTATACTCTTTGTACTTGTTGATTGGGTTGAGGGAGGTGGGAAGGAAGAAATTACAAAGGGTGTTTTGCTGGCATGTACTAGAAGATTTCATATTACATGTTGACCGGTATGTTATGTGCATTTCATTTAACTTTGCTGAACTGTGTATAAATCCAGGAATATATTTCTCAAGGGCCTGGGAACCATCTCTTTGAAATGTAATCATTAAGGGAGATAGCTGGCCTCTATCTCCCAGTTTCTGTGGGAGGGTGGGAACCTAGCTTCAGTGGGTGCCTACCAAGTTGCAAAACTACCCTCTGTCATAAATGCTCAAAGTAAGAAATTTATTTTTCCTTTGGATAAAGCCAGTTAGCAAACACAGATGGCCACCTCAATTACCAGGTGAATTTAGGATGGATTATGTGTGACAAGTGGTACTGTCAAGTCCTCTTACTTGAACACTAGTTATCATTTATCTTGACAACGTGTATGTAATGAGTTGTATCTGTTTGGCATGAGAATGGACACCAGGAAGAAAGGTGAGATTTCTTCCTGTCTTTGCATCTCTTAGTGGATTCCCTGTGATGAGCATCACATTCTGGTTTAATCCTTATTCAATAACAAAACTGTTTTCTTTCTCTGTAACTTTTGTGGAGAGGATTTCTGGGTTAGGAGAGGATTTTTGTTTTTAATTATATTTCCCCAACAGTGACGAAAGTAGAGTTAGTAAACTAACACATTTTATTCACTTTGTGTTCAAGTTTATAGAAAGATTATCTTCTGAAAATGTTTTTGGGAATGATATTGTAAAACCACATCTCTTTAAGTGGGTCATTTTTGGCGAGAAGGAATCGAGAGAAATAAAGTATTCTAGACTATAATGTTCCTAATTCGAAGTTACTTTCAGATATAACCATTGTTACATGAGTGTAGTTTATTCAATACTGCTATCTACGTGGTAGACAAACTTGAGTCCTTATTTGAAACATCCAGCTTTTCGAGAAGTTTAGAAGTACATAAAGTATGTTAAAAGTAGTGGTAATGAAATAACACATTTTGTAAATATCCTTTTGTTAAAATTCACATGAAATAATGTATTTTGGAAATAGAATGGTCAAACCAGCTCTCTGAGCAGAACTCATCGTGTTTGTGCTGGTTCAGGGAGGAGGGAGGAGAAGAAAGTGCACAGTGCTGGATGCCAGTCCGTTTGTAGATAGACGATATTAACCATCATCCTTTTATGTTCTCTGCATTTTGCTTTATTTTGCCATGTATATCGTGTATATAAAGGATAAACAAATTCAAATTTTACAATATCTAGTCTTTACAAATGTTAAAGCAGTTGCTAGTGTGTGACAAAAGTAGAGTTAGTAAACTAGTTTTTGGTTAATCCACCTCTTGGCACTGAATGAATTTCTGTACTTAGTCATTAAAATGGGGGAAGAGAGGGAAGAGGGAGAAGAGGAGGAGTGAAGGGAGGGGCTCATTGCTAGTATCTCCATATCTGGAAGATAGTTTTGGATTATATCCATAGTTCTCTATGTGGATTTTTATAAAGTGCCTGTGTTTATCGTGGACAAAGCTCATTATTTTGCAACATCTAAGCTTTTTGGATGTGTTGAGGTGACAATGTATGACAAAAAATAGAGCTAGTGAATTAACCAATTTGTAAATATCTTTTTAAAAACTAATTAATAGAAAAGAAGCATCTTGGACATGGAATTGTTTAACACCTCTGAGCAGTGAATGTCAGGACTCCTCCATTAGTTTGGTGGTGGGGAGGGATGTAGGCAGATGTGTTCACATTTACATTTTGATGATAACCATTGATGTGTGTGTACAACTCTTTTGACTGTACTGTGGAAATATATTGTTAAATAACTCAATGGAAAAATGCCTTCTTGATAATATTTTAATAGAATATATCTGATAATGAATTCCCTTAAAATCATTGTACTCTGTTGCTTTATTTCTCATTTAATATTGAGCACAAGGGAATGTAGTATTTTAACTGTAGTTTTGTCAATATCTTTATCTAGAGGCCTGTTGCCATTTTTGTCTTTTATGACATTTTTGTCCCCAAGTGTATTAGTCAGGGTTCTACAGAGGAACAGAACCAGTAGGATTGATTGATTGGAATTGGTTCTGAAAACACCCAGAAATAATGTTTAACTGGGCACCCCATGACCAGTCAAGTTAAACACATAAAATTAACCATCACACCAAGAAAAGCAGGATTTCTTTTTTTTTCTGATTGATTTGGTGTAGTGTATTCTTAGTTATCAAAATACTCATGGCTTTCGGACTTTGAATTGGTAATTATTCATGATCATTATGTGTGAAAACACCTGATAGTACTATACAATCTCAGACACATAAAAATGTTTGCTTAGCTCTGTGTATACACATGTAGGACCTAGAAGGACACATCAAACTGTAAAGTGTTTATGATTATGGATGACGTTTGGGTACTTGGCTTCCTGTGTTTTTCAGTTTTCTATAATATACATATTAACCTTCAACAGTTTAAAAAAGGACACCATCATCTCAATGATGTCCAACAACAGAAGTTAATTATTCACTTGCTCATGTTTGCGTTGGCTGCTATATTAGTTTCCTAGAGCTACCATAACAAAGTACCATAAACTGGGTGGCTAAACAACAAATTTATTCTCTCACAGTTCTGGAGGCCAGAAATCCAAAACCAAGGTGTTGGTAGGGTTGGTTTCTTCTGGAGGTAGTGAGGAAGAATCTGTTCCATGCCCCTCTCTTAGCTTCTCGTGGTTGCCAGCAATCCTTAGAGTTCTTGGCTTGTAGCTACATCACTCTAGCCTCTGCCTCTATTGTCACATGAACTTCTTTGCTGTGTGTTCTCTTTTCTTCTTGTAAGGACCAATCCAATTGGATCCAATTGGATCAATCCAATATGACCTAATCTAGTATGACCTCATCTTAACTAACTAACTACATCTACAAAGAACCTATTTCCAAATAAGGTCTCATTCACAGGTGTTGGGGTCTAGTACTTATCTTTCTGGGGGACACAATTCAACCCACAACAGTTGCAGGTGAGTGGTGGCTCTGCTCCTGCCGTATGTGTCTTTCCATTCTTGGATCCAGACTAAAGGAGGGGCCCCTACTTAGCATGTGCCATTCCTGTGGCAGGAATAAACAATAGTTCTCAAAACATCCGTTCAGATGAGGCATGGGTTAGGTTCGATTACATGACAAGTTTGATCACATGCTGTAACTCTCTCTGCATCACGAGTTCCTGCCTCAGGCTTGTGTTTGTCCAAAACCTGCATCAATTCACAGTCATGGAGTTCCTGTTAAGAGTTAATTTGTTTCAATTCCTGTCTTGTTTTGTTTTTAGTTAATTTATAGTCATTCCTCTTTTTGTAACTGAACTGTAACAACAGTATCCTCTCTTCTCTCAATCCAGTCAGAGCCCACTTCTTTGAAGAAGTTTGAAATTTTTCTTAAGAATTCAGATGCATCTTCAGCTGATTAAATGCAAGAAACACATGAAAAAAATCTTAGCACTTAAGATTCTTTCAAGAGGGGGCCAGCTCGGTGGCTTAAGAAGTTAAGTGTGTGCACTCTGCTTTGGCGGCCCAGGGTTCACAAGTTCGGATCCCAGGCGCCCACTGACACACCGCTTGTCAAGCCATGCTGTGACAGCATCCTGTATAAAGTAGAGGAAGATGGGCACGGGTGTTAGCCCAGGGACAATCTTCCTCAGTAAAAAGAGGAGGATTGGCATCGGATGTTAGCTCAGGGCTGATCTTCCTTGGCAAAAAAATGAATAAATAAAATCTAAAAAAAAAAAAAAAAAAAAAAAGATTCTTTCAAAAAAAGATATCAGTTTCTGAAATACATTTGGAATATGACAATATTTAGGCAACACAATGATTTCACTTATACTGCATAAATATTTTTAAGTGGAATATTTTCACAATGTCCACATAAATGGGACAACTCTAGATGTTGCTCTCAAGTCTTGGTCTATGTGGTAGTGAAGGCAGCAGAACAAGAACAAGGGGGTTGTTTGTTCTACATCTGGTTCCATTTTGCTAAGCATCTTGGGTACAGAACTATAACTATGCCATATTGTTATCTGAATGGTAGAAATTGCATAATATTTTCTGAGAGTCAGGGAAGCAGGAAAGGGTTCACCACACCCCTGAACTTCAGGAAGTGTGCAAAGCTATCCAGTAGAGGCATGTGATCTTCAAACCTATTGGTTAGAGGTTTCAGGGCACAAGTTGGAAGCTTGTGTTCTTTTGTGTTTTTTTGCTTGTGTGTTTATTATTTTTGCTGAGGAAGATTCACCCTGAGCTAACATCTGTTGCCAATCTTCCTCTATTTTGTATGTGGGCCGCTGCTACAGCATGGCTACTGCTGAGTGGTGTAGGTCCACACCTGGGAACCAAACCCAGGCTGCCAAAGTGGAGTGCACCAAACTTAACCTCTAGGCCACCTGGGCTGGCCCTGTTTGTTTGTTTATTTTTTGCCTTTGGATTGAAGTTAACTTATTCCACTTTACCTAGGAATGACCTATAAATGTATGAAAACGTGCTCAACATAGCTTATCATCAGGGAAATGCCACATAAAACCATGATAAGATGCCATTATACACTCTCTAGAATGGCAAAAACTAAAAAGACTCATGATACCAAGTGTTGGTAAGGATGTGCAGCAACTGATTCTTATACACTGCTGGTGCCTTAAAATGGTACAACCACTTTGGAAAACAGCTTGGCAGTATTTTTTGTATATATAAAATTAAACATATATCTATCATACCACTCAACAATCCCACTTCTAGATATCTGGCCAAGGGGCCGAAAATTGTTTATTAGGAGGCCAAAAAAATATCTTACCAGCTGTCTGGGCATTCCTTAGCCCAGTCAAGCTGACACATAAAATTAACCATCCCATGTAGCAACTAGAAGAGTAACAGACCAGAAGAGGAACTTGTAAAGTTTCTTGTTATGATATAATTCAAAGTCTCACCCAGTGACAACAGCTTCTCACATTGTACTGATCAGTTTTAGAATTATTGTTTTTTTTCATTCTTTTATTCTTTTAGTCATTCAGCACACATTTAATGAGCATCTGTGGTGTGCCAGGGTCACAGTGAACAAAAAAGAGTCCATGTTCTCAAGGGATTTGTCATCTGAAATTAAGGTAGATATGTAAATTAGTAATTTTAGTACAGTGTGATCAATACTATGATCACATGATGTGTCACAGGTTTGATTTCACTAATAGAGTGCCACTAGGGGTCCTTAGCCCTGTGATATAGAGCTCACTGCCAAAACACACAGTAGAGGAACACTGTAGACAGAAGGTGTGAGATCCAGATCTTTCTATGTTCCCTGTTCAGATATGGAGTCTTTGGTTTAATATCGATATGTTGATAAGCAACGAATGTATTTGGATCAGGAATTCAAGGAGGTGAATCTCTGAGGAGGTGACTGTAGAGAGAAAACAAAGTGGAAGAACTCATGCTAAGGATGTGGCACAGGAAAATGAAGTGATGGGTGTGACTGGCTATGACTTAAAGGAACACCCACAAAGACCACAGATGCACCCAGAGATAACCAGACAGCATGACTGCAGACCTGGATAAGATGTGGAAGCAGCATAAAAGGGAGAGATGAAGGAAGACTGAAGCTGGTGAGCCATCCCAGAGAGAGGACAACACGCTGCTGATCACCTTGCTGATTCCCATGCCTCTCGCCATTCCCTTCGGCTGGACTGATTTCCTGTTCCGACTCGCTGGACCATGCTAAGGACTTTGTGGACTTTGGTTCGTAACCCTTTGCATATTGAATGCTGTGTTTGGTGTTAATTAATATGTTCTTATGATACTCAGGTGATTTAATGTGTGATGTTTGATTGAGTCTCTGTAAACTTTTTTTTTTACACTCTTTTTTTTTTTTTGTGTGAGGAAGATCAGCCCTGAGCTAACCACCAAGCCAATCCTCCTCTTTTTGCTGAAGAAGACCGGCCCTGAGCTAACATCTATTACCAATCCTCCTCCTTTTTTTCCCCCTTTTTTCTCCCCAAAGCCCCAGTAGATAGTTATATGTCATAGTTGCACATCCTTCTAGTTGCTATATGTGGGATGCCGCCTCAGCATGGCCGGACAAGCAGTGTGTTGGTATGCACCCGGGATCCAAATGCGGGCTGCCAGCAGAGGAGCACATGCACTTAACCACTAAGCCACGGGGCCGGCCCCCGGATTGAGTCTCTGTAAAGGGATGCTAGCTTATTACTGCCATTCCCGAACCTCAGTCACTTGTGACGAGATCCTTTGAATTTACTGTAATAAGTTCTGGCATTATGGAAAGACAAAAAAGTGAGAAGACAATCCATTATTAACTGCTCATTACAATGACATTCAAAGAGATATATGATTGGCAAGAAGGGGGAACAGCTAATGCAAAGGCCCTGAGGGAGGAACACACTGAATGTGAGAGGAGCTGAAAGAAGGCCATGTGACCACAGCATAGGGAGTCCCCGGATCCTGAGAGGGAGAGAGCAGAGGGAGATCACAGTGGTGTAATCTGGGGCAAGGAGACTGGATTTCATTCTAAAGGCAGTGGGATGCTGTTGGAGTACCTTAAGCAGAGATCAGATCTGACTTGCATCATGCTCGCAGAGGTGGGGACTACTTGTCACTGCTCACTTTATCTGACTTCCTTAGTGAGGCAAAGTGCAGCATTGGTCAGAAATACCCCACTTTTGTGGTTAGCAGTCGCTGAAAAAGGCGTGGTTACATCTACTTCCTTACTTCAGAAGAGTAGACTCTAATCAGTTTCTCTTAACTCTCACTTCCCCCTTTCCTAGCCAAAAACAACCAAAAAAAACAGCACCACCAACAACAATGAAAGCTTCAACAGAGCTCTTCAGGAAATCTCCTATAGGGCCTGAGGGAACTTTTTAAGATGATGGAAGTATTCTGTATCTTGCTGTGGTGGTGATTATGATGTGATTGAAACCTTGTTTATGACTCGTTTTACAATTTCCATGAGACTCCACTCAGTCTAGCATGCCCCTACTTACTCCATTGCCTCTGGCTAGGAGTCAAGGGATTTACCTCAGGAGGTGATCAATGACTTTAATCTCCTGCATACGTGTTCCTTGAGGCAAACTTTACCTTGGAATGCAAGGACACATCTCATTCATCCTCCCCCATGCCCTAATATTTGAGACTAACCAGAACCCATCAACTGGGTTGACCAGATCACCTAATACCTTTTCCTTTGACATTTCTTTAGAGTAGCAAAAATAGTTAAAATCGTATATAATGGCCCCACACAGACACTTGCACCGCAGCTATTTACTGCAGATGGGTCCTGTCTCCATGCTGAACACAAAATAAAGGTGCATGAACAAACAAGCGGCTCGTGTCTGAAAATTCTTTTTCAACTTGTGACTCAGTGGCCCCTCATCAATTACAGAGGTGTATACATTTGTCAAAACCCATCAAACTGCAGACATACAATAGGGCACTTTTAGCATATGTAAATATACTTCATTAAAGTTGATTTAAAAAAAGGAAATTCTCTACACATTCTAGGTAAATACAAAGGAGGGGCACTTTGTACTGTTTCAAGAGTACGGGGAAACTTCTCAGAGGGGATACTGTTAGAGCTGCTATGTGAAGAATGAGTAGAGTAGTATGGTCATTTAAAACAAGGTTTCAAAATTCTATGATACTCCTCCCATCAAGAACTGTGACTAGTGACCTGTAACTACTTGATCACTAGCGTGGGGGAAGAGGGAGAATCCCCCTCGCCCTTTCCCTTAAGGTTCTTATGGCTGGCCAAATAATTAACAAGACAGGTTAGCAGAAGAAAATAATACCAAGTTTAATAATATGTATACATGGGAGAAAGCAGGGACACTGAGTTTCTCAACACAATGGCAGAGATTCTCGTCTTAAATACTATCTTCAGCTAAAGACAGAGGAGGATGTTGGGGGTGGGTGGTGTTTTGGGATTTCAGAGGGGAAGAAGACAATTTACATGAAGAGGGAAATATAAATGTTTGTCAGACAGTGCTTTGCAGGGCCACCTATAGAGAATGTGGCCAGAGACAGGAATTATAGTAATCAAGAGTATATACATTTAAGTCTTCTTCTTCCGTCCTGATAAGGGTTTTCACAGATAAGGTCATCCCCCCTCTTCCCACTACACAGAGGGAGATGTAGTGTAGTTTGGTAAGTGTAGTTACATTTACCAAATGTAAATATTTGGTAAACAGAACTTGGAAAAGAATGGGCTTAGCGAGGACCCCGCCAGAGTTAAATTCCTTTAGGCAGTTAGTGGGGGAGGTCAAATGTCCATCAGGGAAAATAATCAAGGTAAAGACATATTTCAGGGTGGCCAAATCTTGATCTCCCACACTAGAATAAGGTGGAAGTGATGCTGTGCTTTAGAAATGGACAGCTTCCACTTCCTGTCCTTAAGACACTCTCTTTTGGCCGATGGCCTGCCCAACTTGCCAGCCATGTGAGTGAGCCATCCTGGAAATGGGTCCTCTAGTCTCCAGTCAAACTGCCCCAGTTGACACCATGTGGAGCATAGACAACCTCTCCTTGCTGAACGCTGACCAAACTGCAGATGTGTGAGCTAAATAAACGACTGTTGTCATTATTAACCACTAAGTCTTAGGGTGGTTTGTTATGTAGCAATAACAACCGATCAGTTAGCCAGATAAAAAGGGTGGCGACAGGATGGGTATTCCGGGCCCAAAGTCCTTAAGGCGAGCAGTATTTCAGAATTCAGAATTTTTGGTTTTAGAATGATAATATAGTTCCTATCCCATATTTTCATAACATTTCCAGTGGGTAATGCAAAATATTAATTCATCTGTAGGAAAATGTATAAATATGCTCACTAAATTTGACACATTAAGACTATAAATAGCCACAAGTCAGGCTTTGCTACCAAATGAATTTGCTGCGAAAGAAAAGAAAACAAAATTTTTAGTTGTTAAAACTATTTTGGATTTTGATTTTGGAATTGC